GTTACGTGGCTCGAGGCTTCAGTCAGCGGCAGGGAGTTGACTACTTTCAGACCTTCTCTCCCACCCCGAAGATGACCACTCTTCGGGTGCTGCTGCACATAGCCGCTCAGCGGGACTACGAGCTTCACTCCCTTGACTTCAGCACTGCTTTCCTACAGGGCAGCCTGCACGAGGAGATCTGGCTGCGCCGCCCACCTGGCTTCACTGGGTCATTTCCTCCTGGTACCCAGTGGAGCCTCCGGCGGCCAGTCTACGGTCTCCGCCAGGCGCCCCGTGAGTGGCACGACACATTGAGGACTACACTTGCGGCTCTTGGGTTTGCTCCTTCTACTACCGACCCGTCGCTGTTTCTACGCACCGACACCTCTTTGCCGCCGTTCTACATCCTTGTGTACGTCGACGACTTGGTCTTTGCTACTGCTGACACTGCTGGACTCGCCCACGTGAAGTCGGAGCTGCAGAAGAGACACACGTGCACAGACCTGGGTGAACTGCGCAGCTACCTTGGCTTGCAGATCACCCGGGACAGAGCACAGCGCACCATTACCCTGACTCAGTCACACATGGTGCAGCAGGTCCTTCAGCGCTTCGGCTTCACGTGCTCCTCGCCTCAGGCCACTCCTCTGTCTACTCGCCACTCGCTCTCAGCTCTACCTTCGGATGAGTCCGTAGAGCCGAGTGGCTCGTACCCAGAGCTTGTTGGCTGCCTCATGTACCTGATGACCTGCACTCGACCTGACCTTGCATACCCTCTTAGCATCTTGGCACGCTATGTTGCTCCTGGGAGACACCGACCAGAGCACATGGCTGCAGCGAAGAGGGTGTTGCGCTACTTGTGCAGTACGTCGGGCATGGGGCTAGTGCTTGGAGGGCGGCGTTCAGTGGTCCTCACTGGGCACGCAGACGCTTCTTGGGCTGACGACCAGGCTACGCAGCGGTCGTCACAGGCTTACACCTTCAGCCTTGGTTCTGGCTCTGTTTCGTGACGGTCTACCCGCTCGTCTTCTGTTCTCGGCTCCAGCTGTGAGGCTGCGATCTACGCAGGGGCCATGGCTGCACAGGAGCTACGCTGGCTCACCTACCTGCTGACTGACCTAGGAGAGCCGCCTCGTTCTCCTTCAGTTCTGTACGTGGACAACAAGGCCATGCTGGCCTTGTGTCGGGAGCACAGACTGGAGCACAGAACGAAGCACATTGCTCTTCGCTACTTCCTTGCTCGTGAGTTGCAGCAGCGTGACAGCTGCGCCTTGCCTACGTGGCCTCTCAGGCCAACACTGCTGATATCTTTACCAAGGCACTTCAGCCTTGTGATCATCAGCGCTTTTGTACGATGCTAGGTCTTGTGCCTACTTGGCCTCACTTGCTCACTTCTTGACCTTGCTTGTACTGTGATCTATCTATACCTGCACTTGCTTGTTTACCTTTATATATAATCTTGCATGTGAATTGGCCTTGTGGCCTTGAACTTGTGCTCGGAATGTGTGGTGACGTTGTGATCCACCCTGAGCTTGCTGTGCTTTGCTTGACTGGTCTTGTGACCTCTTGTTCTCCCCCACTTTGCCTATGGGGGTGTGTCAAACTTATATGCTATAGTCTGTGTAGGCTGTAGTGGGGTAGATCATATGGGGTGCAACACTTTTAGCTTTTTCCTACTTGTACCCACCTGTTTCCTAGTGCATTCATTCCTCGTTCTTCAACAACTGTATAATGCATGTAATATGTCATGATGCACATGCACATGATACGATAAAATGCGTGGCAGTTAACAACCCAAAAACTAAGCTACTGCCATCCCCTGCCTAGCATGGGGGGGAGATCAATAGCCTAGCTTTTGAATAATCAACTACCACATGAAACATTACAATCTGTGAAGTCTAAAAAAAAAAAAAGTCAACTCTATCAAATCCAGTTGGAAGTGGTCGCACACGAGTCACTGAGTGCGCCAATGAACCTTTTGTGAAATGATAGACCTGAGCTTTCTTTTTAAAGATCACAGATAAGCATTGTTATTGCAATGGATACGGATGAATACACAGTCACGGCACATACGCACGAAGGCACACACACACACATACAAACACGTATACAAGATCACACGCATTCACACAAACGAAAAAAAAAAAAACTAAATGCACAAACTGTAAAAACAACAAAACATGCAAACATCAATACAAGACAATCCTACAGATTACCACTACTATCCACTTCACAAGTACTCTTGGCAGATGAACACATCTGGAACGAAAGTCAGAAGGACATCTGGAATCACAAGTAGGCAACGAATGAGAGAGAGGGAAAGAATGAAGAGGGGAGAGATGAAAATAATTATCAAAGTGTGGAGAAAATTGAATAGAAAGCAAGGCAAATGGGGAGACATCATAATAACCAAACTGAATGCAAGCTAACGGTGGTAAGCAGGCTCTCAGATTCACTTTGAGGGTCGTCAACCCATCAGGGTTCCCCTGTGTGTAAACTCTGATTGACAGCGTTCCAAAAAAAAAAAGCCTGAAATGTAAGTGTTGCGTTTGTAAAAAGCCTGATGCATCAGTGTAGCACTAGTAAAAAGGCTGTCACTAACGCGTCGCATGTGATGGCAACGGGGCAGGATCCTTGGCAGGCCCCCAGCACCACATGGTGGCCACGTTCGGATTGGCCAAGACTTACTGCTACAGCGAAACGGCCCAATGGTGTGAGGCGCCGCGCCAACAAAACACCTCTGAACGTGAACCAGAGGCAGAATTTCATAGGTTGGCCTCGCCATGGGGTGCTTACACCTCGGGAATCTGAGATTCCATGTAATTGCGGTAAAATCCACATGGCACAGGTAAGAATCGCTTTAGTGTTGGTTTCGTTACAACGTTGTGGCATCAGTGTCCTAGGGGGAAAAAGTCTGAAATTTCAGTGTGCCTAACAAAAAAGGCTGAAAGATCAGTCCCTCAAAAATCTCAACAGTGACTTTTCAGGGTAGATAAAAAAAGGACTGCCAAAATCAGGAATTTCAGGGTTTTTTTCCTGATATCTGAGGCCCTGGTGGTAAGGTAAAAAAAAATGATGAACAACGCTATACATTAAAAAACAGAACGCAAAAAATAGAGCAAGTAACAAAACAGGAAACAACGATATACCTTAGCTGTGAATTTCACAGAGAGAGAACGAGAGAGAGAGAGAGAGAGAGAGAGAGAGAGAGAGAGAGAGAGAGAGAGAGAGAGAGAGAGAGAGAGAGAGAGAGAGAGAGAGACGGGAGGCCAGCCCTGGAGGCGGGAGGGGCTGAAGTAAGGGGGCCCCGAGGCTGAGGTCCCTAGGTGCTAGGCTCACGGCAGGCCACGGCTAGCAGACCCAGCTAGCTTAGTTTTTATATGTTGATACTTGCTTGCATGAGCGCTTGCTGGCCCACATGATACCTAGACGGTATGCTAGGGGATTGCTTTGCTGCTTTATCATGTATGGCTTGTACCCCTCTATAATATTAATGAAGGACCGCTTGAGAGAGAGAGAGAGAGAGAGAGAGAGAGAGAGATAGAGAGAGAGAGAGAGAGAGAGAGAGAGAGAGAGAGAGAGAGAATGGAACAACCATAGAAACAAAACAGAAACAAAGCAAAACATAAACGAAAAGGAACAACAAGAGAGCCTATATTTAGGGAAAACGAATGAAGGAAAGGTATAGAGGCATATGAACGACCTAAAGACTAAGCACGCGACGAGATAAGCCGAAGGATAGAGGCATATGAACGACCTACAAAACGCCTAGAACCTACACTTCATTAACTTCCAGTCTTTAAAAACGGCCAACACATAAAGAAGCCAGTAGGATACGACATCAAGAAAAGACTAGTCAAACTTACCGTCACCTAACATAGTCCTAGTTCTAAGAGGGTTTCTGACCTTTGAGAGGTAGGTGGAGCGTGGGTGGCGGGAGCACATCACGAAGTAGGCTTCACTAGCGCGAGGAAATGTGAGAGAGAGAGAAAAGAACGAACAAACGAACGAGAAAAGAAAGATCAAGTTAGGAACGAGAACGTTTAAGAAGTACGGTTGAAGGAAGAAGATGGGAAAGAAAAAATCAGAAAACAATCGAGGAAAGCTCGAACGAAATCGGAGTGAGAGAAAGAAAGGGAGGTGAGGTGGACGGACGAAGGAAAGACGGCCGTGCAAGAGAGTTGAAAAAGGAAAATGAACAAGTTCAGAAGTCTACATAATGTACGTTAAAGCGACGGTGCACATTTGCCACCCAAAACCCAGAACCCTAGCGAACTGTTACTGCGGATGGAAAGTGTCCGCACGAAATCCTGGTTTTCGCCAGCCAGCACTTTCGCGCTGGCAAGCCTGGTTCAAAAAAAAAACTTCTGAACCCAACACTGCCAAAAGTTGCCCGTCGCTTTAAACGTAGGTGAAACTACGATGCAACAATGAAAAACGACCAATCACGACATATTAACGTCTATATCTAGAAAAGGCTCGCTCTTAACATTAGAACGAACGGATTATTCTAGTCTTTAGTAGTCTCACCTGAGAAGCTGGGGGATGAGGACGTAGGAGCTACGGGAGGACTAGGGACTTGAGGAAGGACATCAGAACGAGAAAAGGGAAATTGACGAAACGCAAGGGAGTTCTGGTTCGCGTCAGAAATAGAATATCTCACATTTAACAACATGAAGCCGAACGCGATGTTTGTCGCTTGGTAACTCTGACTTCCTGATCGCAAGGTCAGGAGGTCGATTCCAGTCCGGTGTGCATGGTTGAGGTGAAGGAAAACTGAAATTTCTTTTGTGACATACACATGTAACGAGAAAAATTAACATAACAATCGGCATACACTAAACCCATAACGTTCTCAACACTTTGTAGAACAGCCCTTATGAATTTCGGTGCGCGATCAAAAAGTGCCAATCTTGCTTCTCAATCAACCCCAACAAAACAAGCATAAAGTCCCACATGTCTCAGCGTTTTCTATCGAGATAAAAAACAAAGAAAATATACTTGTGCAAAACAGCTTCGCAACCCTAAGACGATTTCGTCCCTAACAGGAGGCGAACGACGGGATGGGATGGGGAGAGGAGGCGAACGACGGGATGGGAGGGGAGAGGAGGCGAACGACGGGATGGGAGGGGAGAGGAGGCGAACGACGGGATGGGAGGGGAGAGGAGGCGAACGACGGGATGGGAGGGGAGAGGAGGCGAACGACGGGATGGGAGGGGAGAGGAGGCGAACGACGGGATGGGAGGGGAGAGGAGGCGAACGACGGGATGGGAGGGGAGAGGAGGCGAACGACGGGATGGGAGGGGAGAGGAGGCGAACGACGGGATGGGAGGGGAGAGGAGGCGAACGACGGGATGGGAGGGGAAAGGAAGCAAACGACGGGATGGGAGGGGAGAGGAGGCGAACGACGGGATGGGAGGGGAAAGGAAGCGAACGACGGGATGGGAGGGGAGAGGAGGCGAACGACGGGATGGGAGGGGAGAGGAGGCGAACGACGGGATGGGAGGGGAGAGGAGGCGAACGACGGGATGGGATGGGAAAGGAAGCGAACGACGGAATGGGAGGGGAGAGGAGGCGACGGGAGAGATAGCGAGTCGACGGAGGAACGTGAGCGCGATGGCCAGGGGAGGGGGGAACGTGAGCGCGATGGCCAGGGGAGGGGGGAACGTGAGCGCGATGGCCAGGGAAGGGGGGAACGTGAGCGCGATGCCAGGGGAGGGGGAAACGTGAGCGCGATGGCCAGGGGAGGGGGGAACGTGAGCGCGATGGCCAGGGAAGGGGGGAACGTGAGCGCGATGCCGATGGGAGGGGAGGACGTGAGCGATAGGAGATGAAGTGGACGGGAAGGGAGGGGAGATTGCGCGAAGGCGAGGGGAGAGAGAGCGCGCGAAGGCGACGGAAGAGAGAGCGCGAAGGCGACGGGAGAGAGAGCGCAAAGGCGACGGGAGAGAGAGCGCGGAGGGCAACGGGAGAGAGAGTGCGTTAGGCGATGGGAGAGAGAGCGCGAAGGCGACGGGAGAGAGAGCGCGGAGGCGACGGGTGAGAGAGCGCGAAGGCGACGGGAGAGAGAGCGCGGAGGCGACGAGTGAGAGAGCGCGAAGGCGACGGGAGAGAGAGCGCGAAGGCAACGGGAGAGAGAGCGCAGAGGCGACGGGTGAGAGAGCGCGAAGGCAACGGAAAGAGAGCGCGAAGGCGACAGGAGAGAGAGCGCGAAGGTGACGGAAAGAGAGCGCGAAGGCGACAGGAGAGTGATAGGCGATGCGCGAGAGAGGAAGGCGACCGGGAAACGCAACGCGATGATTGCGCGAGGCTTGGAAACACAATGCGCTAATACAAGTGTGTATTACGCAGAAGCGCGAAGTTCATAACTACGCGCCTAGTCGGAAATTGTCGAGGTCCTAAGCTACTCAATGTTAGGCAGAAAGCTGGAATGATTAGTTCTCAATCTGCTATATGAATATACTAGTGACTAGAGGAATTGGGTGATGAACCCAGGACCAGCTTGAAATTGGAGTTGGGCCTGGCGACGGAAAAGCATCGCCAGGGAACGGTCGTGCGGATGCAGCACACACGTATGCGACGGCTAATATGAACCTCGAAAATCGTTTTGGCGGGAGCCAATTTTTTGGGTTGCGTAGCAACCTTATACATTCGTTTTCACTTTTAGGGTGTTAGGGAGGCGGGTGACTATGTAGTAGAGGGTGATGTACATAGGGGGGGGGTTCTTGGCGCAGAACTCAGCGGGAAGGGCAGCGCGGTAGCGAATGTCACTAGTGCGGAGGTGCGTAATGAGGTCAGCAACTCTGGGAAAAGCTGCGAGGTCAGGGAAGAGGTACGGGAGGATGAGGCGGCTAAGTGCAGCAGTGGCAGGGGAAGAGTAGCGTGCAACTACAGCGTCGTACAAGGTCTTAGCACTCTTGTACTGGCTAAAGTGCGCACGCTCAGAGGTAGGCAAGTGGCGACGCACAGCAAGACGTGCAGCAGCATCGCGTGTGGCCCACTGTGAGCGAACAGTGGCGTCAGCATCAGCAGTGGGGGCAGGGGAGGCACCAGAAGTGAGATCAAAGAGGGAGAGACCGTCTGCCCTATCGCACTGTAGGAAAAGCTGCAGGTCATCTACACAGACGTCAAAGTCAATGGCCCGACCCTCAGCGTTAAAAGCGAGGACACTGGGGGTAGCCATGACAGCAGTAGACTAGCAGCACGAGCAGTAGGCTAAGGGCAGCGCAGTAGTAGAGGTGCTGCTCTTACCGGGCAGGCGAGACGGACCGAGTGTAGAGGACAGGGCGGCTCGGACGGCTCGGCGGCTCGGCAGCACCAGCAGGTCGGCAGCTCAGCGACTCGGCGGCTCGGGTGGCTCGGCGGCTCGGGCGACTCGGGCGGCTCGGGCGGCTCGGGCGGCTCGGGCGGCTCGGGCGGTTCGGTGGCTCGGGCGGCTCGGGCGGCTTGGGCGGTTCGGCGGCTCGGGCAGCTCGGGTGCTGCAGGGGCAGCGGCGGCTGCTGCTCACAGGACGGCGGCGGCCGCTGCTGCAGCGGCGGCGGCAGTTGCTGCTGCAGGGCCGGCGGCGGCCGCTCCTGCAGGGACGGCGGCGGCCGCGGTTGCAGTGGCGGCGGGTGCTGCTGCAGGGGCGGCGGATGCTGCTGCTGCTGGGACTGCGGCCGCGGTCGCTGTAGCGACTGCAGCTGTTGCTGCTGTAGAGGCGGCGACGGCGGGCCGAGAGAGGCCGCGAAGGGCGGCGGACGGGCCGTGAAGCGCGGCACGAGGGGCCGCGGAGGGCGGCGACCGGCCGTGAAGGGGCTCTGATACCATGTCAGAATCCCAACCACTAGACCATTGGGATAAAAGGGCTTGTTTGTGTAGCGGGTAAGTGCGCACATAACCCCCCAGGCCAACATGCCTGTAACCCTTCCCTAGGATCAATCGGGGATCACCAGTGGACCTCTGACACCCGCCCGCACTGGGATGTCCGAAGTGCACACACCGGGATTCGAACCCGAGACCTTCGCTCTGATACCATGTGAAATAACGAGGAATGAGATTGACTAAGGGAAAGTTGGGTACAAGTGCAAACCCTAGGAAACTGTACCCCATATGTGCTACCCCACTATAGCCTACAGCAGCTATGTCATATAAATCTGACACGCAGCCCGCTTAGGCCCTGCACGTTGCGTTCGCCGCTCGTGCAGCGCATTGCTGCCCCGTGCACCGCGTCCGCCTGTACCTGCCGCCAGGGTTTAGGGTTTACCCTGCTTTTCGTGCCTGCCTTGCGCCTACCTACCTTGTGCCTTGCCTTAAGAGCGCGTGCCTGCCTTACTGCCTATTGCATGAGTCTCCTGCCTTTGCCTATTGCCGGTTCCTGCTGCCTTGGCCTGCTGCTACTGCCTACGCTCCAAGTATGGCGACACTTAACGTCCTTGCGTTTGAGCCTGACGGTAGCCCGATCGAGTTCACCACCTAGTTAGACGATCTCACACTGTTCCTTATGACTGATGCCAAAGATGGCGTTTCACTGTTCGATCACGCGTCTGGCACTGCCGTTACTCCTGCTGCCGATGCTACGGCTCTCGACCGCTCACAGTGGCAGACCCGCGATGCTTCTGCGCGCCTCGCTATTCGCAATCATCTGCCGATCTCTGAGCGCGCGCATTTTAGCCAGCACAAAACTGCTAAGGCACTGTACGACGCTGTAGTTGCGCGCTACTCCTCCCCAGCCACTGCAGCACTAGGTCTCATGCTACCCTACCTGTTTCCCGATCTGTCCTCGTTTCACACTGCTGAGGACCTCATCTCTCACCTGCGCGCTAGTGACACTCGTTTCCGTACCGCCCTTACCGACGAGTTCCTCGCCAAGAACACTCCTTCGATGTACTTTACGCTCTACTTCCTCATCACCCGCCTCCCTGACACTCTTCGCTCGGTCAGGGACCACTTTCTCGCTCTAGACCCTACCGCTCTCACCGTCGACGACTTCGAGAAGCACCTCCTGGCAGCTGAGAAGAACATTCTTGCTGTGGGTGCGGCTCGTGGCACTCCTCGCACACCCCTCTTTGAGGGGTGCTCTCCCTCCCCTCTCGCCCCCTCCTATGCCTCTGCTGCCGCTGCTCTCGACTACCTTGGTGCTGAGGAGGTCGGGGCTGCTTCCGCTCCTAGTGGGAGGCGTCGCAGCGGCCGGAGCGGCAAGGGTGGCAGGGGAGGTGGGGGTGGCGGTGGAGGTGGCGGTGGTGGTGGCGGCGGGGGAGGTGGAGGAGGTGGGGGTGGTCGGGGTGGTGGCGGTGGTGGGGGAGGAGGCGGTAGTACTGGGAGCAGTGCCAGTGGCAGCGGCGGTAGTGGGGGAGGAGCCGGTGGTGGTGGCAGCATTGGCGGCCAGGGACAGCAGCAGCAGCAGCAGCAGCAGCGACAGCGCCAGGCCCCCACGACCCAGCAGCTCCATGACTGGTATGCTGGGCGTGGGGCGTCTGGGGGTCCTGGTCACTGCACCTATATCATTCGCTCAGGTCCCCGCCAGGGTCGCCCATGCAATGGTCTTCACACTGAGTCTCGCTGCTTTGCTCGGCTTAGCGACGCCTGGCGCGTCAAGTTTCCTGCGACTACTGAGATGCCCAACTGGGCAGACCTGCTTAGGCGTGGTGTTGCTATCTTTGATCTTGACTATGATGCTGTTCTTGCTGCCATGTATGCATTGACTGTTAGTGCTGAGGGTGACTGCTACTTGTGTATGCCGCATGATCCTAGTATTGATCCTGGTATAGTGTCTGCAGCGCTAGGTGCTACTACTGCTCCCTCTGGTACTGCGCCTGCTGAGGCCTTGCACACTTTCACACTTGACTCAGGTGCTTCCCGCTGCTTCTTTTGCGACAGTACCACGGTCACTCCCCTCCCTGCACCTGTCCCTGTCTCACTGGCTGACCCCTCTGGGGGCCCAGTGCTTGCACGAGCCACGACTGTGCTTCCGTGCCCGGCGGTCCCGTCTGGCGAGCTGTCTGGTCTCCACCTCCCCTCGTTCTCCACGAACTTGGTGAGCAACGCTGCTCTTCAGGATGCGGGGGTTGATACCTTCACCCCTGGACTGCAGCGTGTGGCGATCTGTACGTGCACTCAGACCGGCCGTCACCTGGCCACGTTCACATGTGCGCCTGGGTCCAGTCTGTACACCCTCACCACCGCGTCGCGCTACACTCCTTTGTCTCCACAGCTGTACGCGTCTGCTCAGGTAGCTACCCAGTGTGAGTGTCGCCGCCTGTCGCACGACACTCTCCTGTGGCACCACCGCCTTGGTCACCCCTCCCTGCCTCGCCTGCGTGGTATGCACTCTCGCTCCCTGGTCTCTGGGCTTCCCAGGTCTCTGCCTGCCCTCCCTCCCTCGCCTGCACCGCCCTGCATTCCCTGCGTCGAGGGGCGGTAGCGCGCCGCTCCTCACTCCTCCTCCTTCCTCCCACAGAGGCTCCACTGCAGACGCTCCATCTGGACGTGTGGGGCCCAGCCCGCGTCCAGGGGCACGGCCGCGAGCGGTACTTCCTGCTGGTTGTCGACGACTACACGCGTTACACCACGGTCTTCCCCTTGCGCATCAAGGGGAACGTCCCTGCTGTTTTGATCTGGATCCGCGCTGCTCGTCTCCAGCTTCGCGAGCGGTTCGAGCGGGACTTTCCAGTCCTGCGTCTGCACTCTGACAGAGGTGGTGAGTTCTCCTCCGACCTCTTGGCAGCCTACTGTGCGGAGCACGGCATCACCCAGTCGTTCACGCTTCCGGCCTCTCCGCAGCAGAATGGGGTTGCTGAGCGCCGCATTGGTTTAGTCATGGAGGTCGCTCGTACCTCCATGATCCATGCGGCTGCCCCCCATCTTCTGTGGCCGTTTGCGGTCCGGTACGCCGCGCGTCAGCTCAACCTCTGGCCCCGTGTCTCCTTCCCGGAGACCTCGCCCACACTGCTGTGGACGGGGAAGGTTGGCGATGCGTCGCGTTTCCGGGTCTAGGGTGCTCGTGCCTTTGTCCGCGATACCACCGCGGACAAGCTCTCCCCTCGCGCCATCCCCTGTGTCTTCCTTGGCTTTCCTACTGACGCGCCAGGTTGGCAGTTCTACGACCCCACCTCGCGTCGTATCTTTGCGTCTCAGGACGTCACCTTTGACGAGTCGGTCCCCTTTTACCGTCTCTTTCCCTACCGCACTGCCCCTCGCCCCCTGCCGCCGCTCGCGCTCGCTCCAGGTCCTTCCCAGGTGCCCCCCCTCCCCGCGCCAGGTCCTGCTCCTTCAGGTGTTTCTCAGGTAGACCCTCCTGTGCCTGCGCCTGTTGAGGTCACTGGTGACTCAGGTTCTGCTCGGGGTGCTGTTCCTGGAGGTGCTGCGACTGGGGGTACTGAGCCTGTGCGACAGGAGCTTGGGGGTGCTGAGCGTGGGGGTACGGAGTCTGGGGGTGGTGTGCCTGAGCGTGTTGAGTCTGGGGGTGCTGAGCCTGGGGGTGCTGAGCCTGAGCGTGAGGAGCCTGGGCGTGCTGTGTCTGGGGGTGCTGGGCCTGAGCGTGAGGAGCCTGGGGGTGC